AGCATGTTCTTCGGTGAGATGCTGCTGCCCCTCTGCCAGCACCTAATTCTCTGAGTTGGTGGGATGGTCTAGTCTTTCTAGTCTAATGGGGGAAGCATAAAGACTTCATTCTGCAAAAAGCAGCACAATCTCTTTTGGACATGCTGGCTATAGGTTTCTCCCATCTGAGCATCTTAGGATGCTCAGTGGCTGAAGGACTGCTTTTGGCATTATCCTCTCAAGAAGTGTTGAGCTAGGCCCACCCAAGGGATTCTTGCAGCATGCTCATGTTTGAGACTGTGGAGAAGGACAACAGTTTTTAATGCACCATCAGTTTGCCCAGAGGCCCTGCTGGAGATGCTAGGATGGCTGCTTGTGCAGAAATGTTGCTTTGGAGATTTCACATGCCGGCAGCCCCTGGGGAGCTGTATGGACACGAGGGCTTCCCTTACTGCAGCTGTAGCACTGGGGAGAAAAAAACATACGCTGCAACAGCAGGTTGGAGCCCTTTCTGGGAATGGGGGATGCCACCTGTGATGGGACAAACACACAACTCCGGGATATCTCTTTAATGTGGCTGCTTTTTTTTGATCTCCAGGGAAATGGGCGGGAACACCAGTTTCACCCTCTCTAAAGTGAGTGACTGTGAGGGGAGTGGGAGATCTGTGGTTTGGGCTTCAGCTCTGGGTGTTGGGGTTTTCCTCTTGCTCTGCCTTATGGAGAGGCTGAGTGAGAATGTGAGTGCTTGTGTTGCGGCCCTTTTGAAAGGGCGGCTTGGGTTTACAGGCAGAGTTCCTTGGACCATGTGGACAGATGCAGTCAGATGTTGGGGACGGGCAAATTTTTAGATGCCTTTGTTGGTTGCCTTTTTGCAAACTTTTTAGGGACACCATCTTACTTGCTCTGCAGTCTTTCCTGTTCATGGCTTTTTGGAGACTCCTGGTCTGTTCTTGAACATCTCCTCACTCCTTTCATGCCTTGAAAGTTTTGAAGACAACATGGGACCTGAGCAGTACTGTTCCCATGCAGTGGTCTATAGGTTAGTTTCAAAGTAACTGAGCACAATGGTAGCGTGTGCACGTTTGCAACTTGTGCCAGGGAGTTTCTAGCATATTTTGTTCCCCTGACATAAACAGGGTCATTCCTTCTTTCACCTTCTCTGTTCTCCTGTATAAAGGAGGACAGAGACCCTTCTGTCTCTCTTCTTGGCCTGGAGTGAGACCCATCAACCATGCAGTTGTTGCTGCACAGCTTGGCACAGGGGAAATGTTTCTCCCCGCTGAGTGTTATCAGAGTATTTCTTTCCAAGAAATAGCATTTCTGTGAGGTGGGGAGCCATCTTAGCAGTGGGCTGTGTTAGTGATGTAGCATTGATTGCGGTGGAGGGGCAGGGGATGAGGGTGCAGTTCTGGGAAAGCATCTTTAGGAACTCTGTCTTGAATGGTGATGTTTTTTTCCTCAAGTTAATGATTTATTTTTTTTTTAATATCTTAAAGGAAATTGTTGATAGATATGAAGGCAAGATTTGGGAGGATTTATTCACAAAGCATTTTGAACAGGTAAGTGTGTGTGTAAGCTGCCAGGGTAAACTCCTCCAGAGCTATTGTGTAGCTCTGTGAAAGTAAAAGTGTGTGGATGTTCAAGGGAGGTCTGGATATGGAAGCGTGGGGAACAGAGAGGGGCCACAGGAGGTTGGGCTGTGTGTACGTTACTGATACCATACAGCGGATTTGACCGCAAAGTTTAGGAATGTGTCAGCATTGAGACAGGCGCACTTCTCTATGCAACAGGGTGTGAATGCCTGGAACTTGATACTGTTACATCCACAATGTCCTGTGGCATTAACAGGCTCAAAAGGTATTAGCAAATTGATGGGCAGAAGTCCATAAAGAGAAACTAAAGCTTTAGGCGGGGATGTACCCTCTAAGATCCCTTTTCCAACAGGTGTGGGTGCCAGGGAAACAGGAGAATGGTCTGCAGAAACCAACCAGGCTCGTGTGCTCTCCCTAAACCTTAATTCTCATTGCCTTTATGGGGGACAAAGTGGTGGGCTGTATGGATCCATCTTACCTTCTAGGGTGTTCTTACACTCATTGGGAAAAGTTGCCTATTAGAGAACACCCCCTGAAATGTAGACACTTTTCTCGTGCATCCTTCACCACAGTTTGATGGCAGCTAACTTGCTCTGAGAGGCAAAGTAAGGGTCACCCATCACCTCCTTTTTTCACTAATTTTCCTAGTGAAATATGATGCTTATTGTGGAAGATTCTTTTAATGATTTCTCTGGCCTGATTTGGGATGGAGTTGGCCTTCAAGCATCCCACTAGCTATGGTGAGGGATGCAAGTGTTTCACCTTTCAGAAAAGGGGACTGCATTTATTTAGCAGCATACCCTGTATTTGGCAAACACATTTTCACAAAAACACATTTGCACTTTCAATAGAAATATTTTGATGGAAGCTGTTACTGAAAACAAGCAATGCTTTTACTTTTTGCCACTTAAGTTTTTTATTTTGACAATGGTGTGGCTTTCAGGTGTGCTAGAAATTGCCATGTATTGTGAGGTGCTGGTCATTTGCTGTCAGGAGGTCCAAGTACACACAGAGGTGAGCAGTACTGCCACTTCTCAATGCATTACCCTGGCATGCCTCAATGATCTGAAAACAGGCTTTTATTTTTGAAGATTGACATTTAAAAAAAATCTTCAAACAAACAAATGTCACAGTTTCTAAAAAAACCTGTAAACTTTAGTATAACAAGGAGGAGCGAGTTTGTGCTTTGAAAAGTTGGGGGGGGAAGTATTCCAAAGTTTCCATCTTTTTTTGTTTGTAAATGATAAAAGGTAAATATTTGAAACAGGTCTCTTGATAGTGTGCTTGATGGGACAGATGGCACCAGGGCTGAAAGGTTAACAGTCTGGATCCTCACTCAGTGTAAATCTGCGCTACTGCATTGATCTGTGTGGAGCCCTGAGAACTTAGCCCAGAGCAGACGGCAGCTCTTGCAGGCTGAGAATCTTGTCATATTCAAAGGGAGTCTTTTCTATCGATTTTCACAGTGGCTGGAGTGGGGCCAGAAAAGCAGAGAATGAAGATGGGACATGCTGGGAAAACAAAAGAGGGAGAAAAGTGATTTAATACTTTTTTTTTTTTAAATTCTCTTCCTTATCACAGAATCCTGAAATAAATGCTGTTCAGCTCCAGAGGATCCTGAATAATATATCTTGGAGAAGTAAGTGCTGAGAAATAATGTTTCTGTAAAATAAACCCTCTTAGAGAAAAGCCTCAGCTCCTGTATCTGTTTCTTGAATGCTGGGAAGGGAAACTGGCTTGAATCTGACTGAACTGACTCTTCTGATGCCATGTTAGGTTTCCAGAGAGAAAGGATTTGCTGGCGTATAAATCAACATGGTAGAAATTTTATAAGCAAACCTAATCTAGTTTGAATTTCAACAGCTGAAAGAATGAGGGGGGAGAGCAAGTGTAGATACTGTGTGTAGATGCGGAGTCTGAATTTGACCTCCAAACCCAGCTTGACCTCAGCCTTGATTCTGAAACTGTCTCATTTCACCCTGTGCCGCTACCACAGTCTCATCCGCGCTGCCACTAGGTATAGAAAGTTAGCGTAGTCTGTAGGCAGTTATGCGGTGGAAGGGGGTCTTATCTTTACCTTGATGTGCCTGGTTCATGCCTGCTATTCCTATTTATTCTTCTGTCTTATGCATGCATAGGGCTGTTCCTTGCTCTGTTTGTGTTTGGGAGACAGGATGGAGCTGCAGGTAACCTGTGTAACTTACACTTGTGAGAACCAAGTGAGTGCTGAGGTTGACTCTCTTGTGAGGACTGTGACATCCACTCTGCCAGTGGCAGCCCAGAGCGCTCCACAAGCTCATAATTTAGTCCCTAGTTACAAATAATGTTACCTGGACAGCAGCAAGGTATTGCAGTGGCTGTTTTCTCTGAAAAACAACAATGAAGTTACAGATATAATGATGAATCCAGTTTTCCCTCCCAGTTTCTTCACTGGTAACAACCTACGCGCAAGACAGAAAATATGCTGTCCAGCCATTATAGGCAACAAAGAAGATGAACAAAAGACAGATATGATGCCTTTTTCACTTAACCTGGATTTGACATTGCTCCCTTTCTTACAAAGGTGGACAAGAATAGCTCTTCTGTCTTTGCAAAGTGACCCACCAGGCACTGCCTTATCTGTGAGAAGACTATATTGAACAGAGTCTTTATTTTTCATAAGTGATCAATTTTAAGACACTAATTTAAAAATGCTACAGTACTTGATTCATATTTACTAAACAGGGCTATTACAGGATTAAAACATCTTCACTTTCTGCAGAGAAGGGATTGGTGAGTTATGGTTCTGTCCCTTGCTCAGTGAAAGTCTACAGACAATCTATAATCGTGATTTGCAGTGAGATTAGAGTCTGTTTCTGTTACTCTTCATGTAACTTATGTATGAACCAGGAATGCTAAACTTTGATGCAGCATCATGTTTTCAGCGATGCCTGTACTTTTAATTATATTAACAGAGCTGGCAGTGTGTCTGTGAAAGAGAGAGATGCTTAACACAAAGGTTTCAATTAATCTTCAGTGCTGCTCCCCGAAGCTCTTCAGGTCAAGTGACTTTGCTCAAGGTCATGCAGTAAATTCTGTTTGGGATTACAGCTTTGGATGTCCTTTTCCTTCCATTTTCTCTAATAGCTGGAGATAGTGCACCATATTTCATTCCGTATTACATGCCTGCAGGGAGCTCATATTGGATTTTCTGAGACTAGTAGAATCCATCCTGTTGCCTCATATTTTTATCATCATAAATGATACATCTTCTCGAGTGGGTGTAAAGTTTCACAAAAGCTTTGGGGCCTCAGCCTTCTCAAGTGAGGGGGAATTTTGTGAGACTTGATTCTTCTGAGGTGTTCAATGACTCTTCAAAACTTTTTTTTTATTTTTCTTTTTCTCTCCAGATTTCCAGAATTTTCGCCTGAGTTTCAGTCTGGATGCCTGCCAGGGTATCTTGGCACTCCTGGATGTATCCTTCTTTGCATGAGTGATACTTCTGACTCATATAATACTTCACTGGAACATTATTTCTTAGGGAAGACTGGGTGTTACTGTGATTTGTTTACCACCAGGACATGGCCTTGCTTATTGAACTTCTCACCCTCCATAATAACAGTTCAGTTGTGAGAGAATGGAATTGCTTTGGGAAAGAGATGATTCCTGTCGTCTCTGAAATCAGCAGCGAGGTTTCCATTGACTTTAGTGGGAGGAGGATCATGCCTATAGATAGTCTTGTGCGCTAAGAAATCATTATCTTCATATTAAAATTGTGTGAATGTTAGAGCGGCTGTGAGTTTTTGGTTTGTTTAGGTTTTTTTATGTAATGGGTGCTCTCTGACATTTAATTGAGATGTTTTGACCTTAATTCTCCCACGAAGCTGAACGCCTCTGGCACATTGAGTATCCAGGAATTCAGAGTCCTGTGGAAAAGGCTGCTTTTCTATTTGGTATGACAATAATTTCTCTGTCCCCTTGCGTTATCTCCCTGCTCACAATCATTTCAGCGTCATCTGTTGATTTGTTTGTTTGTTTTGGCTTTTTTTTTTTTTAAAAAAAACTTTTTTACCCCCCCAGGAAGTTTTCCAGAAAAAAGACACTAGCAGATCAGGAAAACTTGACCTTGTGGAACTGCATGCAGCTGTACAGGAGACAGGTAAGCCCACAGCACATCTTGGCAAGTCTCATCCTCCTCTTCAGAAAGGCAGGAAAAAGCCCAGGGCTGGGAAACATCTTGAGAATTGTAGGTAGAGCCCAGGAGAAGTGGAAAACATCATAGGCTGCATGGTCTTGGCCATCTCTGCTTCCCTCTTTTGCTGGGTAAAAACATCTGGAAATTATTTTGCTGTATGATGGGCTACTTAATCTTTACACCATTGTGGTCTCATACCGATAGTTCTCTGAAACAGAAGTGTCTGTCTGTTTTAGATCCAGTTTTTAAATCCCTTCCTGTTCATTGCTAATTTCATTTTAAAAGACTGTGTGGGGTTGTGCGGATACATGTGGGAGGCCAGATCTAGCTTCTGTTAAATTGCTATCTCTGCTGAAGATGACAGCTCAGGGACTGAACCTGGAAGTGCGGGACTTGCACAGAGGTAATGCTGGTGCCAGGCTACACTACTATAATGTTTGAAGCTTGATCTAGAAATGGAAGGTCATACATATGCGTGCAAATACTGGACCAAGCTCTGTTACTGGGCTTTGAGGGGGGGCTGGTGCTCAGTCTTTCAGCTGCTTCTGCAGGTTTACAGCTTAAATATCACTCCTCTTTTTGGTGCGTGGTTCACCTAGTTCATCTGAGTCAGTGAAAGCACAGTGAGAAACCCAGGCGGACCTCTGCTAAAGAGAAATAAAATCCCAGGCCATGAATGGAAAGTACTTTTATTCCTTGCAAATGCTGCTTGACATTGGCACTGATGCTTTCTGTACGAGCTTCCTCTGGACTTTCTTTTTCATCTCCTTTCCTACCCTCTTGTGGAGTATTGATCTTAAACACAGCTGCTGTTATTACCCTCATACCCCATGAGCAAAGGATGCCCATGTGTATTTTATTCCAACTCTGGCAGGACTGTGAGTGTAGGGGATCAGATCTGAACCCTTTTAAGTTTCAAGGAGATATCTCCACATAATGGTCTGGTTTGGACTGACTAATATTTGATAGTCTTAGGGAAGGTTTGCAAAACCAAGCTTTTGGAGGAGGGCTGAAGACCACTCAGTTGTGCACGTTCACAGCTGTGTGCACACCCTGTGCACACTCAGCTGTGTACAGCTGGGAGTTGCCATCTCATTCTGATCCCCTCCCCCCCTTTTCTTTTTCCTTTGATGAAGGCATTTCTCTCAGCAATGAAGTCTGTAATTTGATGGCAATCAGATATGGTGGCCCTGACTTGAAGATCAGCTTTGAGAGCTTTGTGTGCTTCATGCTTCGAGTGGAGATCATGGGAGGTGAGGCTGGTGCTACATGGCTGGCCAGGCAAGCTGGGCTGCCCAGCTAAACCCTGGCCCTTCTGACGCTGCTCCAGCTGGCAGTGGCAAGGTCAAAATTGGAAGGACTGAGTTTATGAATAGACCAAGAGTAATCAATTTAAAGCAAGGGGCAGATATAGAGGAAATTAAGCTTGCTCTCTTTCCACCAGTCACTTTCTACAGACATCCAGGTTGTACATATGAGAGTGATTTAGCTCCCTGCAGGTTTCCACCAGCCTTCTGTAGGAGCAGGTAGGCAAATTACAGATGGAGACTGCCTGTTTTACAGGAAGAAGAGAGCCTTGGAATATACCTTTAATGGGACTGCACTTGTGATGATGAGACAGCTGATACTCAGTCTGTGAGCTCATGCAGTAGACGCTTCACACGTCTTAAAACTGTAGTGGGTGAGATCGGGACCACCTGCATTTTGAGGTTTTGCAGCTGGATGGACAGACAGTAACATGCCTGACTTTATTGAGCTGCTCCCTGTGTCCCAGCGCTTGGGGATCTTCCAGTGACAGAACAGAGAAGCTCACATGTGTTTCTGAATAGCCTACAAACTGCCTTTGAGGTTTTTCCTGGGACAGGGTGTCTTGGCTGGTGTTGGTCTCTTGGCTACCAAGTTAATGCTCCTCATTTATTTCTTTCACAGAGGCCTTTCGCAACTTAACGCAAGATGGCAAAGGGATATATCTCCGGGAATCTGAGGTAAAGCCCATTCCCTGACTGACAAATGCAGGCTCCTTCATTGCAAATGACACTGCATGTTTTGTTCTGGAGCCTTAAAAAAAGTCATCTTTACCTGATCACTTACAGAGTAGGTTAGAAACAACAAGGAGCTTCAGACTTCTAAGTCCTGTGCTTTATTATATTATCTAGGATTTTGATACTGTCCCTCAGCATCCTTTTGAACAAGTTCTCCAGCTGTGGGATGAACAGGTTCAGAGTGCGCTGGGTGAAGAACTGGCTGAAGGGCAGAGCTCAAAGGGTTGTAGTGAATGGGGCTACATCTGGCTGGCGACTGGACACCGGTGGTGTTCCTCAGGGCCAGTTCTGTTCAGTAAATTTATCAACTACCTGGATGCAGGAGTTGAATGCACCATTAGCAAGTTTGCTGACGATACCAAACTCGGAGGTGCTGTTGACTCTCTTGAGGGACAGGAGGCTTTGCGGAGGGATCTAGGTAGATTGGAGCATTGGGCTATCATTAATGGGATGAAATTTAACAAGTCGAAATGCCAGATTCTGCACCTAGGGTGAAGTAATGCCAGGCACAAGTATAAATTGGGAGAGGATAGGCTGGAGAGCAGCCCTGCAGAAAGGGATCTGGGGGTGCTGGTCAACAGCAGGCTCGGTATGAGTCAGCACTGTGCCCTGGCAGCCAAGAGGGCAAACTGCATCCTGGGGTACATAAAACCCAACAAAACCAGCCAGTCAAAAGAGGTGATAATCCCGCTGTATTTAGCGTTGGTGTGGCCTCACCTTGAGTACTGTGTGCAGTTCTGGGCCCCATAATTTAGAAGGATGTGAAGGTCCTTGAATCTGTCCAGAGAATGCAACAAAGCTGGTGAAAGGGCTGGAAGGGATGTCCTGTGAAGAGTGGTTAAGGACTTTGTGCTTGTCTAGTTTAGAGAAAAGGAGGCTGAGGGATAACCTCATTGCTCTCTACAGCTTCCCGAAGAGGGGCAGTGGAGAGGGAGGTGCTGATTTCTTCTCCCTGGTATCCAGTGGTAGGATGTGTGGGAATGGTTCAAAGCTGAATCAGGGGAGGTTTAGACTGGACATGAGGAAGCATTTCTTTACCAAGAGGGTGGTCAAACACTGGAACAGGCTTCCTAGAGAGGTGGCCAATGCCCCAGGCCTGTCAGTGTTTAAGAGGCATTTGGACAACACCCTTAACAACATGCTTTAACTTTTGGTCAGCCCTGAATTGGTCAGGCAGTTGGACTAGATGATGGTTGTATGCCCCTTCCAACCGAAATAGTCTGGTCTGGTCTGTTCTAGCTTTTGCTCCTTCTGGAGACAGAATATCTCCAGTGCCCTGTAGTCCAGTTCAGCTATGACTATCGCAGAGCGCTCTTGCGGATGGATGAGTTCAACCTACTTTCCCCATTATTTTACAGTGGATGATGATGACACTGTATTCCTGAAGCGATGCTGTAGAAGAGGAGACAACCAGGCCTGTACCAGGATGAGGAAGGCTGCCTCATGACAACTTTCTGTGCACACTGGACTCTCTGGGTTTAGCCCTGAAATTTACCTCATATGAAAAGTCTTCCACTCAAGCAGACTTGACCTAATGACCACAGACTTGGTGAACTGAAGTTTTGCTAATTAGTGTATTTCTTTTGAGTCCTACTTCACTTCAGACAACCCTTCTGAGAAGAGACTGCCAGATGCCAACCACTGAGGGTGCACAGTGTGACACCATGGAGCAGAGTCATTGGGGTCACATACTTAATGCTTATATGTTACACTCTTATTGTTATAGGATGGCATACGTTGTGGTAGTGCCCAGAGGCTGTGCTTGGTGATGGGGGCTCTTGAGCCGGGGAGAGAAGCGGCCCCTGCCCTGAGTGGACTGTCACCTAATAGAGGAAACCCAAGTTCTGCAGCTGCCAGGCCCATGCTACAGGAGTCTGTGCTTGTGGGGAAGAAGAGGTGGGGACTCTCTGAATGAACACTCTTCCTTAGCCATGACTTGGAAAGGTGATTTGCAACCATCTCTTTTGCTTTCGTAAGTCAGCACAGCCCTATTGAAGTGAACCTACGTTGATATGACCAAGCAATGAGCTGGGCCTCCAGCTTTTTGTTGTGGATGGAGGCTGTGATGTTTACATATTCATTTCAGAAAGGCAGCGGGTTTTCTCTGCAGACTGAAAAGTACAGTACAGTGAGAAGTAAACTGATCCCATATTGTCTTTAAGTCACTGGAGATTGGCAGGGAATAGATGTTCTCTGTAGCATGATACAGGAGCAGTCTGGTAAAACATTTGTGTATTTGTCAGTTACTTTTTATAAAGTAGGATGAGAGAGAGAGTGCGTGTGTACTTTTAAATGATGCAGGCACGTGTAAGTTGTAGCTAATTAAACAATGGAAACAGGGTGCATAGCTGTGAACAGCATTAGAGAACATGTTATAAGCGAGACTATTCACATCAAACTCCATGCTAGAGTTACTTGATGCATCTATCTGTAAGATCCTTTTTCATTTTCTTCTCATTTGTTTATTTGGGTTGGAAATTTCCATGCTAAGTGCCTGTTACAGGTAGCTGCTTTGATTTTTTTTTTTTTTTTCATGTTACAGGTTGCTGCTTTGATTTATTTTTTTTTTTTTTTCCTTTTCCCTTTTGCATTCCTGTGGACAGTACAATTGTGTCTCTTTTCCAGTGCGCAGTCTAGTCTGGGCGCTGAATGAAACAGAGCTCCAATGGGAATGAACGTATAATGAAAGACTATATTCTAATACCTTTGTAGGAAGGAGTTATATTAAGCTTGCATAGGCAGCCTTCCCTCTGGCTTTTTGTGACTTTTTAGGTGCTTAATCTCATAAATATCCTTTCAGACTGTGCATGAGATTCAGGAATGAGGTGGACTGTGGATAAGAATGTAAACACGAGTAAAAGACTGAGCTCAGGTATGTGCTTACCGCTGCACTGAAGCCTGTGCAAGAGCATAAGCATATTTAGAGAGAAACCCCATCGCGTATAAATGTTCCTAGTCAGGAGGCATTAAACAATAAAAACAACAGCGTGCTTTATTCCCCAGAACAGTCTGTTTCTAAACAGTATCATTTTCATACTGTTTTTATGAGAAAACTGGTAGAACCAGATAAATAGATAGCTATGTTTGTACTTGTTTATTACAGATGATATATCTATCATCTATTGTGAGTGGCCTACTGTGGTGTCACCGGAGCCACGGGGTTCAAACCTGTGAAGCAGGGCAGGTTAGAGGGAGCAGGGACATCCAGGGCCCTCGAGCAGCGGTGTCGCAGTGCTGCCGTCCTGCCGAGCTCCCGAAAAGGCTCTGTTAGCAGCTCCCATCACAAAGCACGTGCCCTCTCCCAACTGTCATGCCTCTGTTGCCTTTTGGGACTCGCAGCTGAACACGGTGGTGCAAACTAAATTAGCCTGATTTAATTTGCACTCAACTCAGCGGGGGATGTTATAAACGCTGATTTACTGTGTGCAGGAGCAGCACTGGAAGAACCGGAAAGGTTGATTGAGAGAGCGTAGGTCTCGCTTTTTCAGCGCGCTCCGAAAAAGATGGTCCCTGGCACCTATGGGGATGGCCGGGGGGGTCTGCGCGAGTGCAGAGTGTTCACAGCAGGACTCTGTTGGACACGATGGGATGAAAATCTGTCAGTCCCAACTGGGTTTGTTGCACAGTGTGTGTAATCAGCTGAGCAAGAATCATTTAAGGCTAGGAGTATGCTGGACATAGCTCTGCCACAGGCCATGCGCAAAACTGTGGTGCAGGGCACCCAGTTTCAAATTGCAGTGCATTTTAAAGTTGTACGCGTTGTTTTTTATATCAGATTTTGTACTTATTTACTTCACACCTCTTTAATGCAGAGCGATGTAATTGCAGGGAGATTATTTTGCTATTGATTACTTGATCCAGGAAAGAAACAGAATTCATCCATGCCATGAATCACTAAGCATTTGCAGCAATAAACTTTATTGAGCCATGTGACTTGCTGTTACAGAATTGTAAAGAATGCTTTACTGGAATGATTATACCAAACCGTGTACAATTCAAACTGAATTATCTGGCTCACAATAAAATGTTTTTGGCAAGGGCACCTACTCGGACACTGTGAGGCTTTTATATTGCTAACAGAATAACGTTTTCTGGGCAATTCTGAAGATCTATTACTCCTCATTTACAATGTGCATTGTGGAAAAAATGGTCTAAAAGGCTGCTGAAGGATGCATTTGTCTGTAACCACAGCATTTATAGGGATGCTGAGCTTTGCAGTGGGTGGTATCGCTCTAGCAGAAATGAAAGAAAAGTGGGGCTGTGGCTCGAGACTAGTATAAAGGTCCTTCCTGGAAAAGGCAGGTGCAAATAACAAGAATAGCAAATAACAGCTGAGTGTGAAGAGGAACTGGATGATGAGGTATATTGTTAACAGTAAGACTGAGATGAAATTGAAAGGAACTAATCAACACTTTGCAAACAAAATGTTCAGCTAGAGCTTATTGCTGCAATATAGACACGCACAACTGGAAGTATTTCATGTTTCCTATATATAGTTGGCGCACAGGTTTAGCGTGCAGGTACCTGTCAGCTGCGCTGCATGCATTCTGCGTGGTCAGGGCTCCTGTCCAGATGGCAACAGGACAGGCTCTACTCTCAAGCCTAACAGATTCAAAAAGGGGCCAAGACTTACAGGAATGACAGGCATGGCTCGAGTGGTCATAGCCTCAGTGAAGAGCCGTGGCAGAGACCTGATGTCTGGCTTCAGGCAAAAGGGGAAGAGCTGTCCTCTGGGGACAAATTACTCCAAGACAAATCACCCCGAGGTCATGGGGCTCTTGCCTTTGAACAGCTAGGGATGACCACGTTTGGAGAGACACCAAGCTGGTCCAGGTTTGAGATTGAGTATTTCTGCTTGTCTGTGTATTTCTTTCTGGACAATCAATTAAACTTTGAAGGTCTACATGCTGTTGAGACACTGCAGCTGAGGCCACATCTCTTGT